AATGTAACTATTCAGCATTATGTATTGGAAAGGAAGCACTGTAATATCGACAAGTAACAATTCCTTCTCACTGCTTCAACTAAGAAGGGTATCTCTAAAGTATGAAATAACCATAACATAAAATTGGCTGTTAATGCAGTATCATGTATTACTAGAGATGTGTGAAATGGTTCCAAGTTCCAATTACATTGTGGATTTAGGTTCACTCTTCTTTCAGATACCTTTAGTAAAAAATACTGACTATGATATTAACATTCTTTTCAAACCGCTACAAATGTTTGATAGTCAAATATAAAATATAGCTTCAAATTCATGTCTTGCTGCCATAATTATGCAATAAGTTTATACCCATAACTCTCATGTATTTGAAGTTTAAGGTTGGGTTGAAAATTCAGGTGCTCACACATCTCTGTATCATAAATTCTGTTGGGTGAAGTGCTTTAAAAGTGTACTTCATGAATTTTAATTTTTTAAATGAATTAACAATACTTATGACATTCACATGAAAGACAAATAACATTTACAAACTTATGCACATAAAATAAATATTATACTACAGTTGTCTCCTTATTTCTGTGTGGGCATGCAGATCCATATAAAAGAACAGAAACTTCTTGCAATAGTTCACAGTGGCAGTTGTGATACACATTGTGTGAATTAACAAAATAGTTATAAATTAATAAAAAGAGACAGGAAAATTGTACTATATGGACTGCGCAAAAATTCCGAAGGTGTTCTTTATGTCACACACCACTTACTGTTATGTCATTAAACACATATAAGAACAGCAGTCAGTAATAGGAACAACCTTCCATTTGCTATGATTACTCTTCATGCATCCACATATTTATTAACTTGTGAATTGATACATTTATAGAAATGCACATGTATCTGGGTGTGAAAATGCAGTAATTAATTACAGTGCTCAATAATTCAATTCCTTCAGCAGAACAGACTTTCTTCTGACAAATTTAGACAGTTTCCTGAAGTAATACAAATACTAATGGGCTGTTTTCTGTAACATATCACAAAAATTATATAAAAAATATACTATTCCTATGATTATTGAGTATTATATTAGTTTCAGCAATTCAGCAGAAGAATTACAACAGTAAAAAGTCAATATCAGGAAATACCCAATACTCCTTTCACATTTGGTGAATTTTCCCCTCAGAATTGTCAGAAGATATCTGTTCAAATGTTTCAGTTGATTCACAATTTGTATTATGTCATTTTTAATAGAGACTGCAATAAGTACACCTGAAACTCTGTGCATGTGTACATAAATATGGAAATCTCTCAAAAGTGCTCTGAGTGCATACAGCTGAGAAAGCCCATTTAAAATTTCAGTTTCTTTGTGCTAACTTAAAACACTTGGATACATACATGTATACACACACATACCAAGACATTGTAATTATCACGGAATAACAAACTAATGGAAATGGTCCTTTGAAATTAAATGGTGAATGGTTTCTTCTGTTATCCCTTTCATACTATTATCTTAGTTCATTCTTTATCCTGTATTTATTTCCTACCACTTTAAACTTAAAACAACATTGAAAAATATCGGCCATGCTTCCTAGTATGTTATTTCAACATTTTCATCACATATTAGTAGTACTTCTTCAAACTGACTGACTGTAATTAGCACTTGTAAAGAGAACACTTTGCTTTACTTTACAGAAAATGATTAAGCCTGTGAACACAGCCAGATATACAACAAAGAAAGCAAACATCAAACTGGGTTTTACAGATCTTGTCAAATTTAAACAGCCTCATCATTGCCATCATCATCATCAGCAGCAGCAGTAGTAGTAGTAGTAATGATTTAACTAGCAGTAGTAATTGTGGCAGTAGAGGTAATACCATTATAAAATTGCCATTAAGGGTTTAATTATGTTTGTTCATAATGAAGGGCTGTGCAGCAATTCTGTAGAACTGTTCTCAGAATAACATTGATATTTCTATTGACATTGTTATTTTTACTAAAGTAATCGTTATTTAGGTACTGAAGACAAAGTATTTGCAATACGCATTGTCTTCATTAATGCATTTCATTCAAGTGACCATTGCTGGGACTAGGCATTTCTGTATCTCAGAAAAATTTTGAAGGTTATGTCCTCTTCTAAGAAATTGTAATTTAAAAAACCCACATCTTATATATATTAAATAAAAGAAATAGTTGTTCTTCTGTTCAGTACATGTTCAGCTTTGTATAGAATGAAATTAATGTATTTCACAAGAGCATTACTTGCTTTCTGTTTGCCACTACATTGCATATTAATTTCTTTGCAATATTACTCACAGCATTCAGTATTAGTCCAGTGTTGATTTTAATTTAGTTTAATGAGTAGTCAGAAAACAGCTGTCAGTTAATTCAATAGCTGATATTTTTATTATTTGTGAGTGACAGTTCATTCCCTTCTAGCGACAGTCATTTTGTTCAATTGGTAACTTGATCGTTTGAATCTATAGGTTAATTATGGAATCAGTCACGGATTTAACATCAAACATATCCTTGTTGCAGGAATGTTATTTGTGCGTTCGTTGTTACATTACCTATTTAGTAGATACATTAATAAACCAAGAAACAAACAACATTTATTGATTAAAATATTGAAAGGAATTATCATTCTCAAAAGAGTGAACTCTTAATTTGAAGCATGGCAAGGGAGCATATTTGTTGCAGGTACAAGTAAAATACTGTTCTGGAAGAGGTCAGCTTAATTAAAGCCTTACTTACCACTTACATGCAACCACATGCTTCCACCACCATGTTCGGCAATGTTGCATGGGTAATCGTTTGATTGTTGTCCACATAGAGCATTTGAAGTGATGATAGCTTTGTAGGTGAACAGCATGGTACCAATTCTAATTGCCTGGCACTTGAACTATGTAGATACAGCAGTCTCTATAAAGAAAAATTGATACATTAAAACTCAGAATTGTTCTAACATATTCATTGTCTGAATGATCAATTTTAATTTTTTTTAATACTGGTAGGAACATTTGTACAAAGTTTATCGGCAAGTGAAGCAGTTTCGTGTACATATTTTATAACATTCCATTACCAGTTTTTATTAATGTTATATTCATGCAGTAAATATATGTAGAAAATAAAATAAGTCTCTTACATTTAAAATCCTAAAAAGTATTGAAAAAGATCACAAATTTTATTGTTGAAGCTCTTATATATCTTAACCCTTATCATCTGTTCATTACTTTACTCTAAAATACTAACCCTCCTGTCAGTTTAGCTTCCCCCTACACCACAGTATTTATACTGTTTATGAACAAAAAAAAAGGCAAGAGTAATTACCATGGAGTCAGACCCACTGATTAAAGGAAGGAAGGAAATACAAGTGTTTCCATCCTTACTCTTAAATTTGCTTTAATAACTTGATACCTACCTCTCATTGTACAAGTATATAATGCGGATGAAAAACGTGTTGCTGTCCTCTGTTAACAGTTTGCCCAGGAGGTTCCGCTATGTGTATTTTCTTTTCTCTGTCCCGCTCTTTACATTGTTAATTATTCATATTTTCTGTAAGCATTTTATTTATGTAGACACACATGTAGCTGTAATAAAATAGGCACTAGCTAACTAACATGTGGAGCAGAGTCCTTGTGAAGTTAGTCTAGTCAATAAGTTACCCAACTTTTATGGAACTGGAAAATTCATTACCATGTTCAGAAGAGCCCGCTACTCATCTCTGTCCTGAGCCAGTTGAGCCCATCCAATCCCTCCAACCCTATTCCCTAAGGTCTATTTTAATATAATTCCCCATTTACATCTAGGTCTTCCAAGTGATCTCTTGTTTTCTTCAGGCATTCTTCTTTCTTCTTCTTCTGTTTCTTGACCGTTACTTCGGTCTTCCGGTGCCTAATATTTTCTTCCATTCTTCTCTATTTTCCCATCCTTCCGGAGGTAGTTTCCACTCTATCATGATTCTTGTAATTCTATCGTTCAATCCTGGTCTCAGTCTTCCTTCTCTCTTTTTGGTTGCCATTTCATAGTAATTTTTGGTAACCTTTCCTCCTCCATCCTTTGCACGTGTCCATACCAAATCAGTTGTCTTCAGGCATTAGAACCAAAATTTTATATGCATTTCTCAGCACCCCTATGTGCGCTGTATGCCATACCCATCTCACCCTCCTTAATTTGATCATTCTAATAATATTTGGTGAAGAGTACTAATTGTAGAGCTCTTCATTATGCAGTTTTCTCCAGCCTCTTGTCATTTCATCCCTCTTAGGTCAAAGTACTCTCCTAAAACAACCTGTTCTCATTTGCCATCAATTTGTATATTTCCATAACATGAGAGACCAGCTTTCGTGCCCACGTAAAATAACAATGAACATCAGGACCGTGTCTTTTGCGATCTAAAGACTTAAGCAGTTGCACTGGCCAAGTATACACCTTATTCCGGATTGACGTAGTTATTACTGAAATATTTTAGCTGATAGACTGATAGTGTAATATTATAACATGACATCTTATTATGTCTCCTGCTCACCTGAATTAACGAACTGTGGTGGGCACCACTTTGTGTGATTGAAGCAGCATTATTACATGATCCACGGCAGAAGTAAGCATGGTAACCTGATGGCTGCAAAATCCACTCGTCCCATCCAATATCAGCGAAAGATATATACAGATTCTCCCTACAGCATTCAGACACACCTGGGTGACAGTTTATGTTGCGTTTTTGCAGTTGATTCTGTATATATATATATATATAGAAGATTAATAGTAAATCAAACATTTTAACAACTGACTCTTGGATATTGGGATCAACTATAAATGATGCTTGAACTATTAAAGTTGAATATGGTTTACAGGTAGCGTAATACAAGCTTTTCTTTGATTGTTTTGTGTGTTTGTAATTAGGAATGCACTGAGTTGAAGAAATAGTGGATTAAATCACGAGGGAAAGACAAATTTTTATCGTGAACTCTTATCTTAGGTTCCTAATTTTAGTTAAATCAGGATTTATGATTTCTGATTGAAAAGTTTTCTGTAGACTTCATTGTCAGTGAATAGTGAATATTTCTTCCTCATATTTAGAAATTAGTCAATTAGAAATTGAGAAATATATCAGCAATATGTTTTTAATACAGGCATGATAATTGTTCAACATTTATCTTTCCCCGTTACCTTTTTATCTATTTGGAAGTTAAATATATGAATATTCCGTGAGCACTACTTGTTGGTCATTGGTCAGTCCATGATAACCAAAACTCTGATGGGAATGATTTGTAGAGAATGCCTCAGGACCTCTGATGGGGATCAGTTGCAATTGTTCATTCTGCAGCCTGTCGTGTATATACTGTGTATTCTAGTGTTGTATATTTATACAGGGCTTTTCATTGTTTAGATTTAAAAGTATTATATTGTTGCAATAGGGTAAGACTTTGTCTCTGTGGAAATGGGTCTGTAATGGACTCTTAGACTTGAAAGTAACTTTTAAGTATGCTGATAAATTATTTTATTTAATGTAAGATTTGAGGTTTTCACAGCAGTGAGTATGAAGATTTCTGTCTCCTGGGTTGTTGCGCTGTGTAGTCTGGTCGATGTTAACCAACATTTCAGAGGTCATACTGCCTCCGTCGTCAGGGCGCTGAAGATTTCTGTCTTCTGGGTTGTTGCGCTGTATAGTCTGGTCGATGTTAACCAACGTTTCAGAGGTCATACTGCCTCCGTCATATGAATATTCATCGCCCTGATGACCGAGGCAGTATGACCTCCGAAACGTTGGTTAACATCGACCAGACTACACAGCGCAACAACCCAGAAGACAGAAATCTTTTATTTTATTTAAATTTGAGGTCACATCACATTAAGTAGCACTTCCTTGATTCATAAATAAAAGTATAGACTGTGAAGCAAGTTGCATGCATACATGTATACATAAATTATATTGATATAAAAGTTTACTAGAATGACAGGCTGTAGAAGCATTAAAATACAAAGCATGCCAATAAATATTGTTCAAAATATTATAAAGGTAGCATGTATAATAAGTTTTTTGTATTGTACTTTACCTTTTTCATTGCATTTGTGCTGATAATAATGAAAGGTTTATGTTCAGATTCTAAAGATACAGGTGACTTAGTAATCTCCATTGCACATGTTTTACATGCTATATGGATTGCATGTGTCAGTTCCTGGTATTCCAACCAATTTTTTACAGTCCAAAGTAAATCAATTTTCACCCAGCCAGCTGTCAAAGGGAACATACAATTAATTATAATCTGTTAACCTTCATCTCGGTGACAAGGTAAAATAAAATGGGATCAATGCAAATGATAAGAGTGCAAGAAGGCACAGGGCACTTGGCTGAGTGAGATGTTCTAAAATCCTCGTCAAGAGCTTTTACAGCTCATCAATGATTGAAAAGCATGTTCAGAGCCAATGATAATGCTTTGTATTTGGGATAACATTTGGTGCAAGGAAGAGCAGGACATTATATACCTTTAACATCTGTTTCATGGATGACCAACAGTTTGCTTTTCTGAACGCTCTGATTCAAATCCCAATGAGCAACTTCAGATACTACAAAAGTTTGGTTATGGCTGTCTCTCTGATCTCTTTCTTTATAGAACCAAAACTCTACTGTTGTAACATCTTCTGCTTGCAATTCTGCTGGCAGTTTAAATGTGAAACAGGTAGCTGGATTTAATGATGCTGGAGTACATCTCACTCCATCTGAAACATTTTTACAAAATACAAATTGTTGTAAGGGTCAAAGTTTAAATTTGTATTATAGTAACAATATACCATTTTCGTTTGGTTGGGCGCAGGGGCACAAATATGGATTTCATTCATCGCTGCTAATCATGTAACAACTTCAAGAGGACATTGTTGTCAGAATTTGTTTTGTAAATTTGTGAGATTTTGAATCAGATTCTCTATTCTTAATAACAAAGCTAGATCCTGAAACATCGGATCCAAAGGAATCCACGAACTTTACATTTTCTTCAACCAGCCAAGCTGTTACAGTCGATTCAAAATTTAACTACAGTAGCCATCAATTTTGTTTTTCCTTCCATCCCTCTTATTTATAAATTGTTTTCCTTTTTTCATTTTATAAAACATTCCTAGTATACTCATCGTAAAAAGCATATATCTTCAGGTATCAAAACGTGCGTAAGTAAGCAGGGTAATTGGTAATAATAACTGTAAAATGGCATGTATTTGCATGATTGTAATGTTTTTAAATTGGCAACAGTGTGGTCACGGTGGTTGGGATAGGGTTGACTTGGCACGCGTCTATCACGTGCTTTTGGTGTGGAACCACGTGCAGCTCACACAAAACCACGTGCTGTGGTACTCTGACAGTGATGGATGAAGGGAGTAGTTGTATACACATGAGGATCGTCCCTTGATATGTACAGGAGAGAAGGTTCCCACCAGACTCGAATACCGATGTTGAAGTTTTCTTTATAAAACGGCGAGAAATTGGGAAAGTAGTCAGTTTCGTCTAAATATTTTGCGCTCTACAATTTGGAACAGACGAAAAGCGTTTATTCTCCTGTTATTTACAGACGATTTTTATGTAATAGTTTATATCGCCTTTTCCAGTTTAATGAGACGGAAAGATGACCTTGAATGTTGAGAAGGTTTGAAACCACGCGGTCATGCTCTGGGTGAAAAGTGTTATTCCCGCATCCCCGTATAGAGAATGAGACAAACAATGGAAAACTTAGGTTAGGATAGCTGATAGCCTGGCCAAGAGATTCGAATCAGTTACGTCCTCACAACGACTTGGTTGGTGAATATCATATTCCAAGACTTGAGGTTCTCACAGCGGTGAGTATGAAGATTTCCGTCTTCTGGGTTGTTGCGCTCTGTAGTCTGATCGATGTTAACCAATGTTTCAGAGATCATACTGCCTCCGTCATCAAGGCGATGAATATGCCGGAGGCAGTATGACCTCTGAAACGTTGGTTAACATCGACCAGACTACACAGCGCAACAACCCAGAAGACGGAAATCTTCATCATATTCCAAGCAATCCTGTAATGATTTGCATTCTGGAAACGGGGATTATCCATATCCCTTTCCGCTTTAATATGAATGAAAAACACGTTTCGTCAAGCGACTGCTGGAAAAGAATCTTTCAACAATAATGTTCATGAGATGATAAAGTTGCGTCATATTGTGATAAATATATATTTGTTTAAATCTTGTCAGTCTAATCACAATAAAATTCCTATTAATATTAAAATATTACCATAATTAACATTTAAATATTTAAAATATATTAAATGAT